AAAAAAAAATGCTCTTTCAAAAGAGATACCATCTTTCTCAGAAGTGGTTGATCGTCTTTGGCAAGATTCAGAAACTGAAACAGAAATGTTCGGAAGCGTCGCATGGCCCCCGGTTAATATTTGGAAACTTCAACGCTGCTAGCTCCGATTTCTTCAAATGGGTAGAATTCAAAGGGCTGCTTAGAATCGAAATATCAAAAGGTGCCTCCAACAGTTGCTGAACAGCCTTATATGGAGTAGAGCCTTTTCCGCCTCGTTTTTAGATATCATTTGAGATCACCAGAGCCCTAGCTAGCTAGTAACAGGCTTGCCTTAGTCATATTTTTTCGTTTTCGTTGTTTATAGTCATCACTGATAAGTCACACTCTTAAATACCCAGGAAGAGAATTTAAGCATGTACATTGCTTCAGTCAAACTTCTTTCTGGCTACAGCCCTGATCATTCCTTATTCAAGTTTTTATTTGGTGAGTACGTTGGAAAAGTCTATCGCAGAACACTTTTGAAATACCTTCTGTTGGATCTACTTGCTACACAAATTCTGAATAGCAGATAACAAGTACTGAATGATGAAGCTAAGCTATGAAGATTTGCTGCTATCATTAGCGAGGGAAGACCGACACAAAATGCTAAAACTACCAGCAAAATGCTAAAACTATTGGCAGCAATGCTAAATACCCCAGACACGTTAATAAAGGTTTTTGTTGTTGTTGTTGTTGTACCATAAGAACTGAACGGACAGCCGAAAAATGGCGACTGTTCTTACCGTGACGTTGCATTTCAACTACTAGCTAATCGGTACTTGTGTCATGACAATGACATTAGTTTTTTATTTGTTCTTTGGCAGTTTTGACTGCTAATTTTAAGTGCTCACGGCATTCATTCATTTAACATACATGTAGTTTACGGTCGACACGCACGAGGGGCCGAGTAGTCCCTGGCAGTAGTCCCTGGGACTATAGTTCCTGCAACTAGTTCCTGCAACTAGTCCCCTGAAGAGTTAACTTGAAGGAACTGGTCGCAGGGACTTGTCCTACGAACAGTTCACACGAAGCGTTTTGAGGAACAAGTCGCAGGGACTTGTCCCAAAAGTTCAAACTGGTTTGGTTTCGTGGGACTAGTCGTAGGAACCAAAGTTTGGTCCCTGCGACTAGATTTTGAAGCAAAAATGGCCAGTTCACACGATGGGACTTGTCCCCGCGACTTGTTGCAAGAACCAGTCGCTGGGGCTAGTCCCCTCGTGAGCGCCGACCTTAATTATGTCTACTTTTTTGGGGTGTCTGACAATTTAGGCTGCGTTCCTTTAGGGTGACCTGGATCAGGATCAGTGATCCAAGATCTGTCTGGATCATGGTGCATCAAAGAAACCGATGAATCCATGATCAGAATGGATTCATCGGTTCTTTTGATGCACCATGATCCAGCGCAGACAGATCTTGGATCACTGATCCTGATCCAGATCACCCCAAAGAAACGCACCCTAAGAAACACTTGCTTAATTCATTCGATGAAACTGGTACTGGACCTGTTAGCATGTGAGTAGCTGGAGTTATAACTTTATTAGCTGCTGTGCTATCTAAAGAAGCTGTTAGGGTTAATGACTGCGTTAAATAACATTAAAAGTGCGGTTTAAACCAAGATTGGAAGTTTTAATTTAAGATAACATCCGTTTGGTTAGCTCAAGATATTGCGAAATCTATACCACCTTCATCCGCACGTCTATTTGCATATAGAGAGAAAACCCAAATATGCAAAAAAAACTCGATAAAGCATTTTCTGCATTCATTTACTTGTCAGTTAGCAATGATTTCCTTTTCAGCACGCTCAGTGCAAAACTCTCAAGTTGCCTGTTACGTCTTTTACAAAACAACTCAAGCGTTTAATGACAATTGAATCAAAACATTCGAGATAATTCTTCCCTTTTAGCTCCTTTTGTCTTTTGCAATAAGTTTAGTATTTTCTTGAGTGATATTTTACCGGACGAGTTAGGAGTAACACATAATTATTGCATGTGTGGGCACTAAAATTTTGACCAATAAGAATGAGGCTATTCAGATCAAAATTTGACATTCTCATCCTGTGGCAAGAGCGAAACATAGTTTAATGACCGAAAACAAAGCAACTGACAAAGCACAATTGGACAGCTATTGTTAGCTCACAATATCATCTTATTTTTGAACACTTTGAAGAGTCACGATGAAACGAAAGTGACTTGTCGGTGATGTAGGATCGTTAAGTCGCCGCCGTTATCACTGATGTTTCGTTTTAGCAAGATGTCACCGAAACATGGCTCAGCAAATTCCGTCCAACTCACATCTTTTAACCACATAAACGGAGATTCTTCGACCAGTTCGCAAGACAATCCAAGCAGTGGAGTGCAGCAGATTCGCACAGCGATTCAGGGCTCTTCCAAGGCGCAAATCCTTGGACCAACAGGAACTGTACGCGGATACAAGAATATAATCAGAGAACGGAAGGAAGTTTTGAGACTTAGCTTTGTTGGAGAAACTTCAGAGGTAGGACTACGAAACTCCGAATCAAAACAAATTCGTTTGTTGTTAATTATTTATGCGAACAGTTTAATATATCCGTGTGATAAGAAATGCCAAGCGTGCGATATTTCTGACGATGTCGTCTTTTGTCTAATATTTACAGGAAAACGAAGAAGGCAAGATCGTTGTTTACACTACTTCAATGGGAGGAATTCGATCAAAAGTGGGAGAGTGTGCGTACATCAGGAAATTATTTGACAATCTGGGACTTAAAGTGGACGAGCGAGATATATTTATGCACAGAGACTATCAAAGCCAACTTGACATGCGACTGGCAAGCCAAAACGCCTCCGTTCCTCATGTATTTGTAAATGGCGTTTCTCTAGGGGTAAGATAATGTAAAGTACATGTTGCCGGCAAAAAGCCGCCCACCTCGCTAGTTCCACAATATTGCCAGATTCTTTTAATGACCGGCAGAGGTCTTGTGTCCTTGTTTCACAAGGTACTTAATCCGTGTTTTCATATTTTATGCATATATTTACAATTTAGACGTAAATTAGAAATAACGTGGGAACTTTCTACGCGGTTTAGTTCGTTTTTATGGCTTAACAATAACCTGTCTTAAATGCTTATGTTTTTAAGTCCTATCTATTCCCATGTCACCAAATTACACGTCAATCTTTTGTGTGTGTGTCAGTAATAACAAAGTGATGAATTGTCAGTTGTGGATATTCAGATAACAGATTTTTTGTGCGGATTATCCAGCGAACGCCGATGTTTTATAGCACTCACTATTCCAGCAGTAAAGAATCTATTTTCGTTGACATGAATTTTTCGCGAGCGTCCATATTCATATGACTATATAAGTCCTATAACTAGGCCTTACGATGTAAATAAAATAGCAATAATACTATTTTATGTAAGGTTATTTCAAAAGTCCAACCGTGCACGATATCAGTGACTTCATTCAAAACGATTATTCATTGGCCGTAATACATGTTTTGCTCTTGGTCCGTTTGAACTGATCACGTTTGTTACTATTTGCTATTTAGTCAATGCCAAAGCCAAAGGCTGCCGGTTGCCGGCGAGTTTCAAAGAGATGCATAGACCTTCGTCTAATTTGGCAGATGCCGAGAGTTTTAAGGCTAAGTGTAATTAAAAAAATAGAAAATTGTAGAAAGAGAAGCTTGCGTAATGGTGAACTAAAATTGAAAGATGGAGGTATAGATATCTTCTAGTGGGAGTTGTACACTGATAAAGAGCGTTACCGACAGACAAAACAAATCTTTTAAGTCTAACTGCTGCCGCTCCGACTGTCTGCCTAAAACGACTCCACTCCCACACGTTGATTCATAATTTTACGAAAATAATAAGATGGTAGACATTTGAGTACAAGTACAGATCAATGTTAACACAAAACGGGCTTTTTTACTACTTTTAGCGCAATACATTATGCCTTGCAAACGACTTTCTCTGTTTTTCTATTATCCAGGGTGTTAAAGAACTGGAGCATTTAAATGAAACTGGAGAACTCAAAATTTTACTTGAAAACTTTGAGGTGAGAAGCTAAATATCATTCGTTAGGTGTATCATGATTAGAGCGGTCTTCTCTCAAAACATATTGTTTCAAGTTGTAATATGATACACATTAATTTGTATTTGTTGAAATCCCGACTTCAGATGCATGAAATACTCTCGTTCAACTGAAAACATCGAAAGTTGTACGTCAATGATAGGAAATCTTGCTATAATCATTTAAGGTGGAAGTATGGTAAAACAGTATCCATGCATGGTTATAACTGACTGTGTTGTCACAAACTACTATTTTCATAGTTTCCCTCTACTAACTAAATCGTGTTTCAAGGCAGTTTATTTTCCGAGTCCGTTGATGTCTCAGTTACCTTAATAACGGAATAGAACTGATTAGTGAGCTGAAATAGTCTACAAGATCTTGATGATAATTTGCATGAAAATATGATTTCTTTGTTTTCAAAAAGGACATCGCTTTTCAGTTTTAAATACATTTTTCGACAGTAACGTCTGTCGTAGTTGTTTTATATTCAATAGACAGGGGTAGCATGGTAACTGGTATGATTATCTCCATTTCAGAGGCGGACTAGTGGCGTATGCCCAGGCTGTGGTGGTTTCCGCTACATTAATTGTACGCAGTGTCATGGAAGTAAGAGATCACGAAAAACAAGAATTTCAAGGGAGATAAATGTTTTACGATGTATTGCGTGCAATGAGAACGGCTTGCAGCTCTGCCCAGAGTGTTCGAAATAACCAAACAGGATCTGCTGTTATAAGCAAGAATGACAAACAACAGGGTAACACGGGCCAGAATCTCGAAACTATAAAGACGGAGAAAGAAAACGGGTGTACTTCGTCTGAGTTCCAGCCGTGCGGAGTCATCTAAATCAATGCTTATAATTATATTATAATTATGCCGGCTGGTTCGACTTTGGATGAATGAATGAAAACTTATGGTAGACTGGCGGCTTCCTACTCTGTAAACAAAATGACTATTAGCATTATTAAAACTACTCGACCCTAGAACGCCGGCCATGAACACCTGAAGCGGTCCCAAAACTGGACGTTTCAAAATATGTAGGGTGCGGGTTATTGATTAAAACCCAACAACTTTGGTGGAAATAGAATAATCAAGACAGATGTGAAATAAACTTTTTCGAAATGTTTTGCCAAGTTTAAACTAGAAAGACTAATTAAACTGAAAGTGGATTTGTCTTTTCACTTTTGGCCGGAGTCTGCCCTCTTTCGTACCCGGAACCCATGTAACTGATCCTGCGGGTTTGTACGGAAGAATGTTGACCGAAATTACGTGTACACTAAAGAAATAAACCTCACACATTACTAAGACTGAATGTTACTTTATCTTTCTGTGTTCTTTAATATTAGCACCTGGTAATGAACTTATAATCCAACTATTAGTATACAGCTTAAATTTAAAATTTTTAAAAATAGTACTTTGACATCAACAAAAATAATTTTGATAAGATTTCCTCTCTAAATTTTTGGACTAGGTTAACCTACTAGAAGATCTCTGTTTATGTTCTGTCAAAACAGACTCGAAAGTAGCTAGGTTCTATCGCCATCAAACATAGTGATCGCAAGTTGACAAAACAACTAGAAACTTGCTTCTATCTATGACTACGTTTAGCCAGAGATTTCCACTGAAGGCTCTGCCCCTTAAATAAAATAACATAGGTTTAAAAGCACATTAAAACATCACTGCGCAAAAATAAAACTGAATAAAGTAAAATCATGTAAGACTTCTAAGAAAATATATATCCCGTGAAACAAGTGACGTAGAAGCTAAGTATCGCCGAGTACACATTAATAAAATCAGAAAGAACAAAATTGCCTAAAGGGAACTGCCCGTCAATTAAACTGCTATGTTTACTATTGTGGTTTCCATAACACTGAAACAGGCTCAATTATAAGCTCCAGCTATCTATAACGTGGTCATTCACGAGAGGCAAAACCCAGAGCCACAGGTCTATCAAAGTCAATAGCTATCGAGACCGAGTGGTCTAACTGTTTTACCCGCACAACCAATGACTGAGTGAGATATTGACGGTTTTGTTCAAATGGAAAACCTTGTTGGAACCTTCTACTGATCGATATATGACAGCTGCGTAACCAATCAGATTACGAGTTTGTTCGCAATATTAAGCCACTGGGTTATGCTAGGTTTAGACAATTCATTATGTCGAATATCATATACACGAGTCGAAAGCATATCCCGCCATAATAATCTACAACAATAATACATCTAAAGAGAAATTTCTAACCTAAACTATTCATGTTTTGTTGCACCAGGGCCCTATATTAATAGTATAACATTTGAGAGTTATGTACTCTACTATGTGGACCCATACCGCATGCGTGTTACCGCGTAGTGGAAGGTCTGTAGAGACTCTTGGATTACTCTCGGAGCCAGTAAAACGTAGTGGCGCTTTTAGCCTACTTCGTTGCAAACTTGCAATCTAGCTACAAAGACACACTGATGGCCTGTCCATGAGGTTTACAGTACACCTTACTCTCAGTTATAACAAAGTTACCAACTGTTAAGAGCCGATTGCACACAGAGCATTTGACGCACTGTCTGTGAAGTACACTGCTGTCAAAGTTACACTTCTCCATTTGGTAGACTGTTCTACCACACACCACGCACTTATCTGATGATACACTTTTCCCGGTGGAAGATACCTGACTTAGCGCTTTGTCTTTATTCGTTTCTTCTTCACTCAGAGATTTTCGAAATGGTACTAAAAAAAAATGCTCTTTCAAAAGAGATACCATCTTTCTCAGAAGTGGTTGATCGTCTTTGGCAAGATTCAGAAACTGAAACAGAAATGTTCGGAAGCGTCGCATGGCCCCCGGTTAATATTTGGAAACTTCAACGCTGCTAGCTCCGATTTCTTCAAATGGGTAGAATTCAAAGGGCTGCTTAGAATCGAAATATCAAAAGGTGCCTCCAACAGTTGCTGAACAGCCTTATATGGAGTAGAGCCTTTTCCGCCTCGTTTTTAGATATCATTTGAGATCACCAGAGCCCTAGCTAGCTAGTAACAGGCTTGCCTTAGTCATATTTTTTCGTTTTCGTTGTTTATAGTCATCACTGATAAGTCACACTCTTAAATACCCAGGAAGAGAATTTAAGCATGTACATTGCTTCAGTCAAACTTCTTTCTGGCTACAGCCCTGATCATTCCTTATTCAAGTTTTTATTTGGTGAGTACGTTGGAAAAGTCTATCGCAGAACACTTTTGAAATACCTTCTGTTGGATCTACTTGCTACACAAATTCTGAATAGCAGATAACAAGTACTGAATGATGAAGCTAAGCTATGAAGATTTGCTGCTATCATTAGCGAGGGAAGACCGACACAAAATGCTAAAACTACCAGCAAAATGCTAAAACTATTGGCAGCAATGCTAAATACCCCAGACACGTTAATAAAGGTTTTTGTTGTTGTTGTTGTTGTACCATAAGAACTGAACGGACAGCCGAAAAATGGCGACTGTTCTTACCGTGACGTTGCATTTCAACTACTAGCTAATCGGTACTTGTGTCATGACAATGACATTAGTTTTTTATTTGTTCTTTGGCAGTTTTGACTGCTAATTTTAAGTGCTCACGGCATTCATTCATTTAACATACATGTAGTTTACGGTCGACACGCACGAGGGGCCGAGTAGTCCCTGGCAGTAGTCCCTGGGACTATAGTTCCTGCAACTAGTTCCTGCAACTAGTCCCCTGAAGAGTTAACTTGAAGGAACTGGTCGCAGGGACTTGTCCTACGAACAGTTCACACGAAGCGTTTTGAGGAACAAGTCGCAGGGACTTGTCCCAAAAGTTCAAACTGGTTTGGTTTCGTGGGACTAGTCGTAGGAACCAAAGTTTGGTCCCTGCGACTAGATTTTGAAGCAAAAATGGCCAGTTCACACGATGGGACTTGTCCCCGCGACTTGATGCAAGAACCAGTCGCTAGGACTAGTCCCCTCGTGTGCGCCGACCTTAATTATGTCTACTTCTTTGAGGTGTCTGGCAATTTAGGCTGCGTTCCTTTAGGGTGATCTGGATCAGGATCAGTGATCCAAGATCTGTCTGGATCATGGTGCCTCAAAGAAACCGATGAATCCACGATCAGAATGGATTCATCGGTTCTTTTGATGCACCATGATCCAGCGCAGACAGATCTTGCTTAATTCTTTCGATGAAACTGGTACTGGACCTGTTAGCATGTGAGTAGCTGGAGTTATAACTTTATTAGTTGCTGTGCTATCTAAAGAAACTGTTAGGGTTTATGACTGCGTTAATTAACATTAAAAGTGCGGTTTACATCGAGATTGGAAGTTTTAATTTAAGATAACATCCGTTTGGTTAGCTCAAGATATTGCGAAATCTATACCACCTTCATCCGCACGTCTATTTGCATATAGAGAGAAAACCCAAATATGCAAAAAAAACTCGATAAAGCATTTTCTGCATTCATTTACTTGTCAGTTAGCAATGATTTCCTTTTCAGCACGCTCAGTGCAAAACTCTCAAGTTGCCTGTTACGTCTTTTACAAAACAACTCAAGCGTTTAATGACAATTGAATCAAAACATTCGAGATAATTCTTCCCTTTTAGCTCCTTTTGTCTTTTGCAATAAGTTTAGTATTTTCTTGAGTGATATTTTACCGGACGAGTTAGGAGTAACACATAATTATTGCATGTGTGGGCACTAAAATTTTGACCAATAAGAATGAGGCTATTCAGATCAAAATTTGACATTCTCATCCTGTGGCAAGAGCGAAACATAGTTTAATGACCGAAAACAAAGCAACTGACAAAGCACAATTGGACAGCTATTGTTAGCTCACAATATCATCTTATTTTTGAACACTTTGAAGAGTCACGATGAAACGAAAGTGACTTGTCGGTGATGTAGGATCGTTAAGTCGCCGCCGTTATCACTGATGTTTCGTTTTAGCAAGATGTCACCGAAACATGGCTCAGCAAATTCCGTCCAACTCACATCTTTTAACCACATAAACGGAGATTCTTCGACCAGTTCGCAAGACAATCCAAGCAGTGGAGTGCAGCAGATTCGCACAGCGATTCAGGGCTCTTCCAAGGCGCAAATCCTTGGACCAACAGGAACTGTACGCGGATACAAGAATATAATCAGAGAACGGAAGGAAGTTTTGAGACTTAGCTTTGTTGGAGAAACTTCAGAGGTAGGACTACGAAACTCCGAATCAAAACAAATTCGTTTGTTGTTAATTATTTATGCGAACAGTTTAATATATCCGTGTGATAAGAAATGCCAAGCGTGCGATATTTCTGACGATGTCGTCTTTTGTCTAATATTTACAGGAAAACGAAGAAGGCAAGATCGTTGTTTACACTACTTCAATGGGAGGAATTCGATCAAAAGTGGGAGAGTGTGCGTACATCAGGAAATTATTTGACAATCTGGGACTTAAAGTGGACGAGCGAGATATATTTATGCACAGAGACTATCAAAGCCAACTTGACATGCGACTGGCAAGCCAAAACGCCTCCGTTCCTCATGTATTTGTAAATGGCGTTTCTCTAGGGGTAAGATAATGTAAAGTACATGTTGCCGGCAAAAAGCCGCCCACCTCGCTAGTTCCACAATATTGCCAGATTCTTTTAATGACCGGCAGAGGTCTTGTGTCCTTGTTTCACAAGGTACTTAATCCGTGTTTTCATATTTTATGCATATATTTACAATTTAGACGTAAATTAGAAATAACGTGGGAACTTTCTACGCGGTTTAGTTCGTTTTTATGGCTTAACAATAACCTGTCTTAAATGCTTATGTTTTTAAGTCCTATCTATTCCCATGTCACCAAATTACACGTCAATCTTTTGTGTGTGTGTCAGTAATAACAAAGTGATGAATTGTCAGTTGTGGATATTCAGATAACAGATTTTTTGTGCGGATTATCCAGCGAACGCCGATGTTTTATAGCACTCACTATTCCAGCAGTAAAGAATCTATTTTCGTTGACATGAATTTTTCGCGAGCGTCCATATTCATATGACTATATAAGTCCTATAACTAGGCCTTACGATGTAAATAAAATAGCAATAATACTATTTTATGTAAGGTTATTTCAAAAGTCCAACCGTGCACGATATCAGTGACTTCATTCAAAACGATTATTCATTGGCCGTAATACATGTTTTGCTCTTGGTCCGTTTGAACTGATCACGTTTGTTACTATTTGCTATTTAGTCAATGCCAAAGCCAAAGGCTGCCGGTTGCCGGCGAGTTTCAAAGAGATGCATAGACCTTCGTCTAATTTGGCAGATGCCGAGAGTTTTAAGGCTAAGTGTAATTAAAAAAATAGAAAATTGTAGAAAGAGAAGCTTGCGTAATGGTGAACTAAAATTGAAAGATGGAGGTATAGATATCTTCTAGTGGGAGTTGTACACTGATAAAGAGCGTTACCGACAGACAAAACAAATCTTTTAAGTCTAACTGCTGCCGCTCCGACTGTCTGCCTAAAACGACTCCACTCCCACACGTTGATTCATAATTTTACGAAAATAATAAGATGGTAGACATTTGAGTACAAGTACAGATCAATGTTAACACAAAACGGGCTTTTTTACTACTTTTAGCGCAATACATTATGCCTTGCAAACGACTTTCTCTGTTTTTCTATTATCCAGGGTGTTAAAGAACTGGAGCATTTAAATGAAACTGGAGAACTCAAAATTTTACTTGAAAACTTTGAGGTGAGAAGCTAAATATCATTCGTTAGGTGTATCATGATTAGAGCGGTCTTCTCTCAAAACATATTGTTTCAAGTTGTAATATGATACACATTAATTTGTATTTGTTGAAATCCCGACTTCAGATGCATGAAATACTCTCGTTCAACTGAAAACATCGAAAGTTGTACGTCAATGATAGGAAATCTTGCTATAATCATTTAAGGTGGAAGTATGGTAAAACAGTATCCATGCATGGTTATAACTGACTGTGTTGTCACAAACTACTATTTTCATAGTTTCCCTCTACTAACTAAATCGTGTTTCAAGGCAGTTTATTTTCCGAGTCCGTTGATGTCTCAGTTACCTTAATAACGGAATAGAACTGATTAGTGAGCTGAAATAGTCTACAAGATCTTGATGATAATTTGCATGAAAATATGATTTCTTTGTTTTCAAAAAGGACATCGCTTTTCAGTTTTAAATACATTTTTCGACAGTAACGTCTGTCGTAGTTGTTTTATATTCAATAGACAGGGGTAGCATGGTAACTGGTATGATTATCTCCATTTCAGAGGCGGACTAGTGGCGTATGCCCAGGCTGTGGTGGTTTCCGCTACATTAATTGTACGCAGTGTCATGGAAGTAAGAGATCACGAAAAACAAGAATTTCAAGGGAGATAAATGTTTTACGATGTATTGCGTGCAATGAGAACGGCTTGCAGCTCTGCCCAGAGTGTTCGAAATAACCAAACAGGATCTGCTGTTATAAGCAAGAATGACAAACAACAGGGTAACACGGGCCAGAATCTCGAAACTATAAAGACGGAGAAAGAAAACGGGTGTACTTCGTCTGAGTTCCAGCCGTGCGGAGTCATCTAAATCAATGCTTATAATTATATTATAATTATGCCGGCTGGTTCGACTTTGGATGAATGAATGAAAACTTATGGTAGACTGGCGGCTTCCTACTCTGTAAACAAAATGACTATTAGCATTATTAAAACTACTCGACCCTAGAACGCCGGCCATGAACACCTGAAGCGGTCCCAAAACTGGACGTTTCAAAATATGTAGGGTGCGGGTTATTGATTAAAACCCAACAACTTTGGTGGAAATAGAATAATCAAGACAGATGTGAAATAAACTTTTTCGAAATGTTTTGCCAAGTTTAAACTAGAAAGACTAATTAAACTGAAAGTGGATTTGTCTTTTCACTTTTGGCCGGAGTCTGCCCTCTTTCGTACCCGGAACCCATGTAACTGATCCTGCGGGTTTGTACGGAAGAATGTTGACCGAAATTACGTGTACACTAAAGAAATAAACCTCACACATTACTAAGACTGAATGTTACTTTATCTTTCTGTGTTCTTTAATATTAGCACCTGGTAATGAACTTATAATCCAACTATTAGTATACAGCTTAAATTTAAAATTTTTAAAAATAGTACTTTGACATCAACAAAAATAATTTTGATAAGATTTCCTCTCTAAATTTTTGGACTAGGTTAACCTACTAGAAGATCTCTGTTTATGTTCTGTCAAAACAGACTCGAAAGTAGCTAGGTTCTATCGCCATCAAACATAGTGATCGCAAGTTGACAAAACAACTAGAAACTTGCTTCTATCTATGACTACGTTTAGCCAGAGATTTCCACTGAAGGCTCTGCCCCTTAAATAAAATAACATAGGTTTAAAAGCACATTAAAACATCACTGCGCAAAAATAAAACTGAATAAAGTAAAATCATGTAAGACTTCTAAGAAAATATATATCCCGTGAAACAAGTGACGTAGAAGCTAAGTATCGCCGAGTACACATTAATAAAATCAGAAAGAACAAAATTGCCTAAAGGGAACTGCCCGTCAATTAAACTGCTATGTTTACTATTGTGGTTTCCATAACACTGAAACAGGCTCAATTATAAGCTCCAGCTATCTATAACGTGGTCATTCACGAGAGGCAAAACCCAGAGCCACAGGTCTATCAAAGTCAATAGCTATCGAGACCGAGTGGTCTAACTGTTTTACCCGCACAACCAATGACTGAGTGAGATATTGACGGTTTTGTTCAAATGGAAAACCTTGTTGGAACCTTCTACTGATCGATATATGACAGCTGCGTAACCAATCAGATTACGAGTTTGTTCGCAATATTAAGCCACTGGGTTATGCTAGGTTTAGACAATTCATTATGTCGAATATCATATACACGAGTCGAAAGCATATCCCGCCATAATAATCTACAACAATAATACATCTAAAGAGAAATTTCTAACCTAAACTATTCATGTTTTGTTGCACCAGGGCCCTATATTAATAGTATAACATTTGAGAGTTATGTACTCTACTATGTGGACCCATACCGCATGCGTGTTACCGCGTAGTGGAAGGTCTGTAGAGACTCTTGGATTACTCTCGGAGCCAGTAAAACGTAGTGGCGCTTTTAGCCTACTTCGTTGCAAACTTGCAATCTAGCTACAAAGACACACTGATGGCCTGTCCATGAGGTTTACAGTACACCTTACTCTCAGTTATAACAAAGTTACCAACTGTTAAGAGCCGATTGCACACAGAGCATTTGACGCACTGTCTGTGAAGTACACTGCTGTCAAAGTTACACTTCTCCATTTGGTAGACTGTTCTACCACACACCACGCACTTATCTGATGATACACTTTTCCCGGTGGAAGATACCTGACTTAGCGCTTTGTCTTTATTCGTTTCTTCTTCACTCAGAGATTTTCGAAATGGTACNCCAAAAGTTCAAACTGGTTTGGTTTCGTGGGACTAGTCGTAGGAACCAAAGTTTGGTCCCTGCGACTAGATTTTGAAGCAAAAATGGCCAGTTCACACGATGGGACTTGTCCCCGCGACTTGATGCAAGAACCAGTCGCTAGGACTAGTCCCCTCGTGTGCGCCGACCTTAATTATGTCTACTTCTTTGAGGTGTCTGGCAATTTAGGCTGCGTTCCTTTAGGGTGATCTGGATCAGGATCAGTGATCCAAGATCTGTCTGGATCATGGTGCCTCAAAGAAACCGATGAATCCACGATCAGAATGGATTCATCGGTTCTTTTGATGCACCATGATCCAGCGCAGACAGATCTTGCTTAATTCTTTCGATGAAACTGGTACTGGACCTGTTAGCATGTGAGTAGCTGGAGTTATAACTTTATTAGTTGCTGTGCTATCTAAAGAAACTGTTAGGGTTTATGACTGCGTTAATTAACATTAAAAGTGCGGTTTACATCGAGATTGGAAGTTTTAATTTAAGATAACATCCGTTTGGTTAGCTCAAGATATTGCGAAATCTATACCACCTTCATCCGCACGTCTATTTGCATATAGAGAGAAAACCCAAATATGCAAAAAAAACTCGATAAAGCATTTTCTGCATTCATTTACTTGTCAGTTAGCAATGATTTCCTTTTCAGCACGCTCAGTGCAAAACTCTCAAGTTGCCTGTTACGTCTTTTACAAAACAACTCAAGCGTTTAATGACAATTGAATCAAAACATTCGAGATAATTCTTCCCTTTTAGCTCCTTTTGTCTTTTGCAATAAGTTTAGTATTTTCTTGAGTGATATTTTACCGGACGAGTTAGGAGTAACACATAATTATTGCATGTGTGGGCACTAAAATTTTGACCAATAAGAATGAGGCTATTCAGATCAAAATTTGACATTCTCATCCTGTGGCAAGAGCGAAACATAGTTTAATGACCGAAAACAAAGCAACTGACAAAGCACAATTGGACAGCTATTGTTAGCTCACAATATCATCTTATTTTTGAACACTTTGAAGAGTCACGATGAAACGAAAGTGACTTGTCGGTGATGTAGGATCGTTAAGTCGCCGCCGTTATCACTGATGTTTCGTTTTAGCAAGATGTCACCGAAACATGGCTCAGCAAATTCCGTCCAACTCACATCTTTTAACCACATAAACGGAGATTCTTCGACCAGTTCGCAAGACAATCCAAGCAGTGGAGTGCAGCAGATTCGCACAGCGATTCAGGGCTCTTCCAAGGCGCAAATCCTTGGACCAACAGGAACTGTACGCGGATACAAGAATATAATCAGAGAACGGAAGGAAGTTTTGAGACTTAGCTTTGTTGGAGAAACTTCAGAGGTAGGACTACGAAACTCCGAATCAAAACAAATTCGTTTGTTGTTAATTATTTATGCGAACAGTTTAATATATCCGTGTGATAAGAAATGCCAAGCGTGCGATATTTCTGACGATGTCGTCTTTTGTCTAATATTTACAGGAAAACGAAGAAGGCAAGATCGTTGTTTACACTACTTCAATGGGAGGAATTCGATCAAAAGTGGGAGAGTGTGCGTACATCAGGAAATTATTTGACAATCTGGGACTTAAAGTGGACGAGCGAGATATATTTATGCACAGAGACTATCAAAGCCAACTTGACATGCGACTGGCAAGCCAAAACGCCTCCGTTCCTCATGTATTTGTAAATGGCGTTTCTCTAGGGGTAAGATAATGTAAAGTACATGTTGCCGGCAAAAAGCCGCCCACCTCGCTAGTTCCACAATATTGCCAGATTCTTTTAATGACCGGCAGAGGTCTTGTGTCCTTGTTTCACAAGGTACTTAATCCGTGTTTTCATATTTTATGCATATATTTACAATTTAGACGTAAATTAGAAATAACGTGGGAACTTTCTACGCGGTTTAGTTCGTTTTTATGGCTTAACAATAACCTGTCTTAAATGCTTATGTTTTTAAGTCCTATCTATTCCCATGTCACCAAATTACACGTCAATCTTTTGTGTGTGTGTCAGTAATAACAAAGTGATGAATTGTCAGTTGTGGATATTCAGATAACAGATTTTTTGTGCGGATTATCCAGCGAACGCCGATGTTTTATAGCACTCACTATTCCAGCAGTAAAGAATCTATTTTCGTTGACATGAATTTTTCGCGAGCGTCCATATTCATATGACTATATAAGTCCTATAACTAGGCCTTACGATGTAAATAAAATAGCAATAATACTATTTTATGTAAGGTTATTTCAAAAGTCCAACCGTGCACGATATCAGTGACTTCATTCAAAACGATTATTCATTGGCCGTAATACATGTTTTGCTCTTGGTCCGTTTGAACTGATCACGTTTGTTACTATTTGCTATTTAGTCAATGCCAAAGCCAAAGGCTGCCGGTTGCCGGCGAGTTTCAAAGAGATGCATAGACCTTCGTCTAATTTGGCAGATGCCGAGAGTTTTAAGGCTAAGTGTAATTAAAAAAATAGAAAATTGTAGAAAGAGAAGCTTGCGTAATGGTGAACTAAAATTGAAAGATGGAGGTATAGATATCTTCTAGTGGGAGTTGTACACTGATAAAGAGCGTTACCGACAGACAAAACAAATCTTTTAAGTCTAACTGCTGCCGCTCCGACTGTCTGCCTAAAACGACTCCACTCCCACACGTTGATTCATAATTTTACGAAAATAATAAGATGGTAGACATTTGAGTACAAGTACAGATCAATGTTAACACAAAACGGGCTTTTTTACTACTTTTAGCGCAATACATTATGCCTTGCAAACGACTTTCTCTGTTTTTCTATTATCCAGGGTGTTAAAGAACTGGAGCATTTAAATGAAACTGGAGAACTCAAAATTTTACTTGAAAACTTTGAGGTGAGAAGCTAAATATCATTCGTTAGGTGTATCATGATTAGAGCGGTCTTCTCTCAAAACATATTGTTTCAAGTTGTAATATGATACACATTAATTTGTATTTGTTGAAATCCCGACTTCAGATGCATGAAATACTCTCGTTCAACTGAAAACATCGAAAGTTGTACGTCAATGATAGGAAATCTTGCTATAATCATTTAAGGTGGAAGTATGGTAAAACAGTATCCATGCATGGTTATAACTGACTGTGTTGTCACAAACTACTATTTTCATAGTTTCCCTCTACTAACTAAATCGTGTTTCAAGGCAGTTTATTTTCCGAGTCCGTTGATGTCTCAGTTACCTTAATAACGGAATAGAACTGATTAGTGAGCTGAAATAGTCTACAAGATCTTGATGATAATTTGCATGAAAATATGATTTCTTTGTTTTCAAAAAGGACATCGCTTTTCAGTTTTAAATACATTTTTCGACAGTAACGTCTGTCGTAGTTGTTTTATATTCAATAGACAGGGGTAGCATGGTAACTGGTATGATTATCTCCATTTCAGAGGCGGACTAGTGGCGTATGCCCAGGCTGTGGTGGTTTCCGCTACATTAATTGTACGCAGTGTCATGGAAGTAAGAGATCACGAAAAACAAGAATTTCAAGGGAGATAAATGTTTTACGATGTATTGCGTGCAATGAGAACGGCTTGCAGCTCTGCCCAGAGTGTTCGAAATAACCAAACAGGATCTGCTGTTATAAGCAAGAATGACAAACAACAGGGTAACACGGGCCAGAATCTCGAAACTATAAAGACGGAGAAAGAAAACGGGTGTACTTCGTCTGAGTTCCAGCCGTGCGGAGTCATCTAAATCAATGCTTATAATTATATTATAATTATGCCGGCTGGTTCGACTTTGGATGAATGAATGAAAACTTATGGTAGACTGGCGGCTTCCTACTCTGTAAACAAAATGACTATTAGCATTATTAAAACTACTCGACCCTAGAACGCCGGCCATGAACACCTGAAGCGGTCCCAAAACTGGACGTTTCAAAATATGTAGGGTGCGGGTTATTGATTAAAACCCAACAACTTTGGTGGAAATAGAATAATCAAGACAGATGTGAAATAAACTTTTTCGAAATGTTTTGCCAAGTTTAAACTAGAAAGACTAATTAAACTGAAAGTGGATTTGTCTTTTCACTTTTGGCCGGAGTCTGCCCTCTTTCGTACCCGGAACCCATGTAACTGATCCTGCGGGTTTGTACGGAAGAATGTTGACCGAAATTACGTGTACACTAAAGAAATAAACCTCACACATTACTAAGACTGAATGTTACTTTATCTTTCTGTGTTCTTTAATATTAGCACCTGGTAATGAACTTATAATCCAACTATTAGTATACAGCTTAAATTTAAAATTTTTAAAAATAGTACTTTGACATCAACAAAAATAATTTTGATAAGATTTCCTCTCTAAATTTTTGGACTAGGTTAACCTACTAGAAGATCTCTGTTTATGTTCTGTCAAAACAGACTCGAAAGTAGCTAGGTTCTATCGCCATCAAACATAGTGATCGCAAGTTGACAAAACAACTAGAAACTTGCTTCTATCTATGACTACGTTTAGCCAGAGATTTCCACTGAAGGCTCTGCCCCTTAAATAAAATAACATAGGTTTAAAAGCACATTAAAACATCACTGCGCAAAAATAAAACTGAATAAAGTAAAATCATGTAAGACTTCTAAGAAAATATATATCCCGTGAAACAAGTGACGTAGAAGCTAAGTATCGCCGAGTACACATTAATAAAATCAGAAAGAACAAAATTGCCTAAAGGGAACTGCCCGTCAATTAAACTGCTATGTTTACTATTGTGGTTTCCATAACACTGAAACAGGCTCAATTATAAGCTCCAGCTATCTATAACGTGGTCATTCACGAGAGGCAAAACCCAGAGCCACAGGTCTATCAAAGTCAATAGCTATCGAGACCGAGTGGTCTAACTGTTTTACCCGCACAACCAATGACTGAGTGAGATATTGACGGTTTTGTTCAAATGGAAAACCTTGTTGGAACCTTCTACTGATCGATATATGACAGCTGCGTAACCAATCAGATTACGAGTTTGTTCGCAATATTAAGCCACTGGGTTATGCTAGGTTTAGACAATTCATTATGTCGAATATCATATACACGAGTCGAAAGCATATCCCGCCATAATAATCTACAACAATAATACATCTAAAGAGAAATTTCTAACCTAAACTATTCATGTTTTGTTGCACCAGGGCCCTATATTAATAGTATAACATTTGAGAGTTATGTACTCTACTATGTGGACCCATACCGCATGCGTGTTACCGCGTAGTGGAAGGTCTGTAGAGACTCTTGGATTACTCTCGGAGCCAGTAAAACGTAGTGGCGCTTTTAGCCTACTTCGTTGCAAACTTGCAATCTAGCTACAAAGACACACTGATGGCCTGTCCATGAGGTTTACAGTACACCTTACTCTCAGTTATAACAAAGTTACCAACTGTTAAGAGCCGATTGCACACAGAGCATTTGACGCACTGTCTGTGAAGTACACTGCTGTCAAAGTTACACTTCTCCATTTGGTAGACTGTTCTACCACACACCACGCACTTATCTGATGATACACTTTTCCCGGTGGAAGATACCTGACTTAGCGCTTTGTCTTTATTCGTTTCTTCTTCACTCAGAGATTTTCGAAATGGTACCTTTTTATCTACTTCGATGTTAGGCGTTTTGCTTCCGAATTGAGGCGCGTCGGGTGAGTTCTTCTTGTTCGTTAGTCCCTGTGGTTTAGTCGCTATTTTGGGTTTTTCCTTGACAGCAGGTTTCAATTTATTACCTTTGTTATCGGATGTCAATGCGGGAGAGGACGACGAGTCAGTATCCACGTTCAGCGATGCCTGAAACAGAAAAAAAAATACATGTTTGAATTCTACAAGCAGGAAATACGTTGATACACTTCGAAGCTCTTCTTGCGTGCCTAAGGAGGCTGGGAACAGTTTCCAGCGCTTTCCTAGACTTGGATTTTGATGGGTCATTATAACCACTTTTTATCAGTTGATGCTACGATCATGGCATCAAAAAACTACCCAATCATTGGACAACACAATGTTCTCATTTTTGTGACACAATAGGTTTCCATAGTTACAGTATGGCCTGCTAAAAACACCAATAATTTTAGCTTCAACCGCTAATTGTCTATGACGGAATTTTGATCTGCAGGATGAGATGCAATTTTTGACAAAGTTCTAAAAAATTCTGTCTAGGCGGGTTCAGAACCACCTTAAATTTCGAAAATTACGATGGTTCTCAACCCACTAAACAGAATTTTTTAAACTTTGTCAAAAGTTGCATCTTCTCATGCTTATTACAATTTGACATGAAAATGGTGGTCACCGAGCTCAGTTTTGAGTTATAAGTACCTAAAGCTAAAAGTTATTGGCAGGTTGTACTGTTGCTGTGGTAACCTATTATGTTATATGATAACAATTATTAGTTCATCAATGGCTGGGCATTATGTGATACCAATATTGCAGTATCACTGGATAAGTAGACGAAGCATTCATCTGTCAAAGTATAATTGTTCAAAAGAGTGCTGGAAACTGTTGCCAGCCTCTTTAAGTAGTGGCGGATCTAGGGGAGGGACCCGAGGGGTACGCCCCCCCCTCCCCCGCCTCTTTTGGTTTAAAAAAGAATATCGCAGAAGGAAGAAAAGCCGGCAGGGCAAGCAAAGAAAAAAAAAACCCCGCCCCTCCCCTTCCCTTAGCTCAAGGTTTGGATCTGCCACTGTTAAGCACCAGATTTCTTACAGAAAATAAAAGCTACCGGCTACCTTAAGGAAACACTATTTCTTCTGTGTTAGAAATCAAATCCGATAATCCTTGTTGGGGTGTCAAGAATTTATTGCGGGATATCAAGAATTCCGGCAGAGCTTGGTCTACAACTATATTAACTAGCGCATTGCTAGTGATAAACATAGACTACATGGGTTACCTGAACGTCTTTGCTATCGAGCAGCTGTGAGAGCCGTGCGCTTTTCTTGGTGGCTAGTTTTATCCAGTCTGGTTGATCTGAAGTGTTATCTTGCTCTGTAGGTTTACCTTTCAGTTTTGTTCCAGTGGGAGTTTTGTCTGCATCAGAACTCTTTACCGGCGAGGAAGGTGTGGAATCTTTGGATCGCAGTTTGCTGTCGTCTACAGGAGTCGTCTTCTCGCCTGAATTCTGCGAATCATTGCTTTTTTCCTCATGAACACTTTCAGTTTTAATTGATTTCTCCTTTTCAACTAGTTTTCTAAGTTCCAGAGCAGCGGTATTTGTTCCTTCTGAGTTGTCAATGTTTTGATCAATTCTATCTAGAGAGAATCGATTTGGCATCGGTGGCTTCATAGCTGACTCTTTTTTCCCAAAGTTCTTGCCGAGTGACTTAGACCTTCTACTCATGTCCAACATAGGCCTACTTCCCTCTTTCCTAACATTGAGTTCTTTAAGAATCGTCTCTTTAGCTTTTGACTCTTCTTTGTTTTCCATCTGGACGTCTGGTTTGGTCGGCTGAACATCTTCATTTTCTTTATTGATAACAACGTTGTCCTTATTATCCATTTCATTTTCATCCAATACTTTGACATGTTGTTCAGTACTTTCTTTGTTCTCCTCTCCTTCAGCTTCGGTATGATCTTCCTTGTCCTGCACTATCTCGGCTACCACCTCATCAATTGTGCTTGTACCACTTTCTTTTGGAGGTTCCTGTACTCTAGCAAGAATGTCACTGGCTTTAGCTTTCATATCAGCAAGAACTTTCTCCTTACTCTGCTCTTCGCTGCTTTCCAAAGCCTCGAAAATAGTTGCATTAACAATATCTGAGTTTCTGTTACTGGCCAGTTCTTCATTAGATTCAGTTTCCACACTAGTTTTGGCAGACATGTCTTTGGGATCGGTCCTGGACCTCCTGTGTGGTTTTGTAGGATTTCTTTTGATGTTCATGGATGAGCTGTTGGGGTGAGCTCTGGTGGGTGGTCGACGGTGTTTTGGTGCTATTTTAATCCTGTCATGCGCAGCTTGTAATCCCTCTAATGATGAAGCCCTTGGCAGACTTTCAAAGCTGACAGCAGCTACAAATCAATTAGAGATCTGTTACACGTCACCAAGAGGATTGATTGCTTTCTTTGCGAGGTGCCTACCCCAGTAAACCTTCACTGACAAGAAACACTATCACGTAATGTAAATGCTTCTGCCTGCCTAGCTGGGACCTCATAAAGAGTTTTGGAAATTCACTTTCACCAAATTCTGGTTTTAAGCCCAATTCTTTCCCTTCCATAAGTTTAAGCATTGGCTCACAGGATTTTTGTGTCAATCGCCTATAATGTTGAAACCTCTTAGCACATGAAGAATAAAAGATAACCCCGTTCTAGAGCTGTTGAAAGCCTACATTTAAGACAAGTCCACAGTTACACTGAGTGAAGAACGATTACATAAATTCATACTTTTTTGTACAGAAAAGGCCAGTGGGCTTTATGGGCGTTAAATGAGATGCAAATAAGTAAGTCAAGAGGTTCGGTTTCCTACAAGTTATCCTGCAAGTTAGATAAACAGTAAATAGTCATGAGGTGAAGTGTACCTTCAGTACCACTATCAGAACTGATCATGGTCCAGTCCAGGCCTGTAGTTATGGATCCTGTTTGACTTTCTCGTTCATCTGAAGACATGGCAGGCTCTTCACTGATGCTGTCTTGACTTTTGCCTTGCACTTTGACATTTTTTAACAGTCTGCCTAAGGACTGAAAAAACAAAAAGTATGTACTACACCTGTATGTAATGCTAAACTACCAATTGTGTTGTTCCACATGAGAGTCAGTCACACAACTTGGAGTTTTAGCTTCCAAGAAGGACAACTCTCAGCCCCTGATAAAACCTTGAACTTAATACAATAGGTCACATAAACTTATTTTCTTATGTAATGTTTCGACTCAGCCAAGAGACTCTTCAGAGACCTTTCACAATTTAATATTTAGCAAACTTAATGAATATCGCGCTCAAAGTCCTGTTCATGAACTCAAGATGTTAGCAGTCTGGCCCTCTATTGCAGGATTCCCAACCACACATTTATGAGTTCATTTATATAAGGTGAAAAAATACTATGTGGCAAGTCTGGGGCGGCGTTTCGTCTTGCCCAAGAGACAGCTAGGGTGCTAACATCTTGAATTTGCGAACAGGAATTTGAAAGCAATGGTCAACGAGTTTGCTGTTAAATTCTGAAAGGTCTCTGAAGAGTCTCTTGGCCGAGACAAAACGCAGCGTCATACTTGCCAAAAACTATTTTTTTTTACAAGTATTTGTCAATTCTTTTTATTGTATAAACTAATTTCCCCCATTGAAACTGTGAATTTAAAGTCCATCTCAAAAGTTTATGCAAATGTGAGCCATTCCTGATTTGCTGAGGTCATGTATTAGAGACATGTACAATTCTTAGAAGTCTGAACTGAGGTATAGACAAAGCAATTTTTCTTGGGCAATTCTGTCCAAGGGGGGAAGGTGCAATGAGGTTAACCCTACATAAATGTGAAGCACCAACCTGTGATACAAGGCTCTGGAAAACAACACTGGGAACTTTGAGCCCTAATTGCAAATCACCTACTTTGATCTGAAAAAGGTAAGATCATACACATTCTACCCCCACCCCCCCACTGACGATTCTGGCATCCTCCTCCCCCTGCTCAAGTCAATATAACTTGTACATTTGATATCTAGTGATATTCAGTTGCTTACCTGCCTTGAAGGCTCACTCTTTGTCCTTTGTACTGGATTGTCCACAGTATTCCTTCTTTCATACACTTCAATGGCAGCAAGTGGACTCTTGGTCTTTGTTTCCACCAGAGAAGGTTCTGATTTTGTCCTAGTCCTTAGTGAGTCATTGTCCTCTTGTTCAGATGATGCATAAGTTGGCTTGTAACGTTCTCTTGGAAGTTCCTCACATGATTTTACTCTTGTCGGACTTTTCTTTCTCCTGAAGAGTTTCTTCATTTTCTTGAAAGGACTCCACTTCCATCTGTATTTCCGTTTCTTCTTCTTTTTGTCTTTCCCTCCTTCATCATCAGAGAACATGCCCTCATCACCACTACTGGGAGAGAGATGATCTTCATTTTGATCAGGGATTTTGATTCGGACGGTTGCACTTGTTGATTTAACATTTTCTTGTGATGTTGCAATTTCCTCAGAACTTGATGTAAAAGACTGTGTGCTCAGTCTAGAATGACCTACAGTTAATGGCTGAGGACCACTTAAGGAAGGGTCTGACTCAAACTTGTTTAAAAGGTCAGATGATAGCTTGCCTGGTTTCCCTGGTTTGTCCAAGCCTGTGAATGGAAATGAACACCCCTGTAAGTCTTGTCCTGTAAGTCACATAATTAATACTAACCCCCATCCCATTACTGCTCAATGCAATAGTTATATTACAGCTTGTGTGAGATATAGCTTCCACTTGTCTGCTCATCTAAGACAAATACTTAGTGTTCAGGCAAGATAACTACTAGCAATTGTTTGAATTGTCTGAGTTTGGCAAGGAATCTGGTCAACTTCCTTTGTAAAATAAAATAAAATAAAATGTTGAAAATCAAATAAAATTAGTGAACCAGAAATGAAGCAATTGGTGTTATGGGAGAGAGCCATGTGATTTTTTTAAAACAATTTAATACTGTTAAGAACTGATGGTGTAACAAACATATTTTAAGCTTTCACTGAGAAAATTATGAAATAATTACAAAATTTTTATGTGAAAGCTTAAAATATGTTTGTTATTAAGAATCATTCTTAAGGTTTTTCCTCAGAATTGTATTATGCATCCCTACTGCGCACGATTTTCATGTCATTAGCACGCGCTAGCAAGCGCGTGCACATATATAATGGTGGCTTTTTCTAAACGGCTTGAGTTGTGAGAGACAAATGATCGTTTTTTCTAGACAAGACGGGGACCTAACGATTTTTTTACTTAGTTTGATTGCAGCGATCACCTTCTTTCTATACAGTGAATATAGACCAATTTCTATTGCAGAGTAACAATTATTACTGAAAATGAGAGCATAGCAAACACTCGTAAATGATAAGATGTGCCCTCAAGAGAACTGCGTGGTTGGAACATATTGAATCCCTGTCGATTAAATGTAGGTACCTTTATCATAAAACGTACATCAAATTGCTCCTTAACATTGATGCAGTACATCCATTGTTGTATTTCTTGCTTAACTTTCTCCCTATTTTTCTGCTCTCACAAAGCGTTAAGTGTCTGGTTTAAATGTAAACGTTTCTAAAAGCAGATAATTTAAGGAATTATGGAGTTTATTGAGGGTCCTCCTGCTCCTAAAGGAATATGGGGACCCCCCTTTTTTATTTCAAAATTTAAGTTCTCTTGATGTAAGCAGCCAACAGGCAAAATTTGAATGAAAATCTATTGTGCATTCTTTTTTGGGGGAATGACCACCAAACGCTGTATTTTGCATTCATATTCTATTCCCAGGTCAAGAATACTATAGGCATAGTTTCCACCACTATCTCAAGTCCAGTCGTCATTCATGAAGACCCCCCTAACTTTCTAAGGCAGTTTTACACGTACCTTTAGTGAGGCTTTGTTCTTTCTTTATCTGGCCAACTTTGTTATGTGCGGCAAATATTTTTTAACTGCCATCTTGAGCTGAGTAATCATGCTCCCATGCTTGGCTGGGAGTGAGAGTATCTAACAATCTATGTCAGGTCGACTAGTTCAATAATGTTTAGGCAGTTCAGCTTTCTTTGGATAAAAAGCTATGTACAAGATAGAAAGATTTGTGAAGTCATACAAGTTCAAACACATTTATTTGCTACTCCGAGTTTTATGCTTCTCGCAAAGTAATCATCATCTATATCGTAAGTGGAAAAGTACTGTAGTTAACCAAATACAAGCTTGCAAGAATACAACGTGTCAATGTAGATCTGTAGATAGGTGTAAATGGCGGGACAAAGAGACAAACCCTCGACTGTTCCCGCAAGTTTAATACGTTTTGGTGTTTGGCCTTCTTCAGGTACAGGAACTTTAAAAAACATAACTATTTTGAATGCTGACAGAATAATTTTAGCATTTAAAAGCTTTGAGAAAAGTTCTCCCAAAATGAGTAAACTTGAATATATATATAAAAAAATGTTTGCAGACAAGTGCTGGTATCTATATATATTTTTGTGCCAAATGGAGTTTTATATATGTTGACCATACTGTGAATGTCACTTCTGGCCGAGTGTGAGAGCTTGAATTGGTTGCTCAGCTGAAGATGGCAGTTAAAAACTTCCCGCCGTGTTGTCATATAACAAAATCGGCCGGATAAAAAAGGAGCAAAACTTTACTAAAGGTGAAAATGCCTAAGAGAAAAAAGGGCATCTTCGTTTTAGAGTTTTTGGGTTCTCAGGGTCTTCATTTTAGAGGCACCCCTCACAGAAAGCTCTTTACTAGTTTGTGTTTGATTTCTCAACTGAGTGCTAGATTGGTTTGACTTCAGTGGGAACATTGTTAACCCATTACCTTTGGACCTAATACTGTTAAACCTACTTCACATTAGCAACATAACAATATAAACATACTGACATAAGAAGAATGTTATGGTGTTCTGTTTGCAATGTGAACATCCTGACATAGTAATATAATAGTAACATAACAGCATGAACATACCAACATAAGGAAGAAAATGAGCTTTTCCCTACACCTTTATGTCGATGTTCACATCATGTTTTTATATCATTATGTCGTTTATGTCGCTAGTGTGAACAGGCCTTGTGCTTAATCTTAAATATGTTAAAAGAATAAGCAGATTAATTTTATTAAGCCTGTGGTACCAAAAAGAAAGCACTGGCAAACACTTGGATGCAAAAAGTTTTGAACAGCTTTTCCCTTGCCTTAATTAATGTAACCTCAGACTTACCTTCGGCCGATCGCGAACCTTTTAAACCACCCTCTGCCATGTTTAGAAACCCTACAACGAAAGAATCAAATCATTTCAACAACGTGAATTCTTGGGTTAAAACGCCTTCGTTTATAAACAAAGCGCTCCAAGTAATATTTACGTTCTAAATAAACCGCTTAGCCTCAACGTACACTATAGTAAGCCTATGTAAGCGTTTAAAAATATTACAGCCAAAAGATTACTCATTTCAAATATCTAGTTCGGATCACAATGTAAACTAAAATCGATCGAACATGGTTCGATTAGGTGACCAATATAATTTAATACATTTTACTGCTGTATTGGGTTGTTATTCACATTACAGGGCAAACTCACAAGGACATCTTCTGTGTAGAAGTGAGAGAAAAAATATTCTGCTTATCGTCCATTAAGAACTTTTTAAAAGGCTCATTGAAAGTTAATCATCATGTATTTTGATTACCAAAAATCTCCTTACCTTTGTGATGATGAGACGTTAGAATACTTTATTCTCCAGGGACTCAGATCCTTCGATACACCATCGTACATGATAACCAGTACGATTTTTTAGGATAACATTTTTTGACGAGTGAATTGAAAATTATTCACTCACGTACCACGAACCCCGTTTCTAGCAATCAATTTTTCACACCGTGTGGGTTCTCCAACAAAGTACGCTAGCAGAACATAAGCTGAAACTAACTTGTTTCACTTGCTACTTGTTGGGAAATCCAAGAAATGAATGTCTATTATTGAAGAAAGAACGACAAATAACTTCCACGAGATCATTCCACTGGTGCTGCCAAAATTCTACCACAAAGCAAGAAGATAGTGAAGCGCATCTGTCTGTGTGTGTGTGCCCGTGTCGAACGGATCAACAGGCAACGCTTCTATTTGTATGGAAATTACGTGTGGGGTTTGACTGGGGGAGTGGGGGTCAGGGGAGCAAACAATGATTAACTTTGCCTCATACCCAGGGAGGCGGCGTGTGTCACGAGATGCTGGTTATTCAAGGATGAATTTACCTTTTCAGGCTTTATTAGCGACTATCCAAGTCTCATGTCTAAAAATATATATATTTTCCTGCAGTTCACTTTGATATATTACGTACTCAGTAAGTCATGATGTTTGCCCTTCAATTCAGGTGCCTATATGACGCACTGAGTACGTCAAAATTTTAAGAGATTTAGTCAAACTCCCGGCACACTGGAGACCACTTTTATCATAACCTGAGATTTGTAGGAGGTTTGTCGAGAGACTGCTAATTTCCCATTACCGTGACGTCATATGGATATCAAATTACGTCAACCTTAGCGAAATTAACCGCGTTGAAGAGACATTTTTACGACCTTTGATGGCCTTTAAATAAGTGTGAACATGTCTATATTAAGCGAAATTAACATATCAAATGTGGTTTATTAGAGTTGTCTGTACTCTTTTCTACAACGAGTACGCGTCATCACAGTGGTCAAAATGTTGTGGACTCACTCGGCTGTGCCTCGTGAGTCCGCAATATCAACGTCAAAGAAAATGTCTTTTTTTTTTCAGAGCACGAGCTGAAAAAGTTATTGCGTGGCACACTGACGCAAGCAGCGTTGTCTGGACTCGACTCTAATCGACCACGGCAAATCAGCCAATCAGATTGCGAGATTAGAAGCAATTGTGGTAAAAAAGCTTAGGCCATTTGAAGTTTTATTTCACTTTATTTTCCAACACTCAAGTTAAGTACTTAACTGTGAAATCTCTCATGTCTTGCAATCTTCATCCTGCAGGTCAAATGTATGTTTCGTTTTTATATTCACACAAGAGGACTTTTCGGTTTTTTGAACATGTTTTGATGCTCAAACATCATTCTAAAAACTAAGAATTGTCCACACAATTTTGATGTTTCTTGTTTC